GACGTTTATTGGCTCAGAACACTGGCCACGCTCTGGTGAGGAGAACAGCCCTGCAAACACCCCAGAGAGCTGGGACAGGGACAGTGAGTGGCTCTGAACACTGGCCATGCTCTGGTGAGGACAACAGCCCTGCAAACACCCCAGAGAGCTGGGACAAGGGACGGTGAGTGGCTCTGAATGGACTCAGCAGCATTTTCCTCCTGCGCCTTGTGCTGCTGCCGAGCATTTTCCATTTGCTGCACGCAAACACCGACACGCTTTGCGCCTTTATACACCATCTCATGGGTTATTCTCTTTCCAGCTACACCCCTGCACACACACAGCTCCAGTCCCATCCAGCTCGCTGCATTATGACAAACATCCACTAAACTGGGAGGGGGCTGCCCCACCAGTACACCCTGCACACAGCTACCGATGGCAGCAAACCGCCTGCCCGTGTCTGGCCACCGTCGCCCGGTGGCACCGCTCGGTGAGATGTGGGTTTGCTCAGTGAGATGCGGGTTTGCTCAGTGAGATGTGGTTTGGTCTGGGCTGCGTCTCCAAGGCTCTGTGCTCCCCCTCCTCTCACCATGTACCCCTCGCTCATCAGCTGCCTCTGAGTCACCGCTTGGCCCCACACCCCCAGCCTTCCTCCCCAGCACGCTGTCTGCCTCCCTTACGGTACAGCATGTACTGTTTCTCCAGTCTCTCCATCTGCTGCTGCAACCACCTTGGGGTTCTTCCCATTTCTAGAGCCAGGAACATCAAAAGGGGATTCAGCACAGGAGAAAAAATAATCTCCTTTAGTCCCAGCCTGTGCAATGACCCTCTCCTACTCCCACACAGTCAACCCTACAACTGCTTCTGCGTCACCAATATAGCCAGCAAGGTCACAAAAAGCAAGGAACTCTTGCAGATCTTGCCACTGCTGTCCTCTCTAACTGATAATTATCGCAGCCAGCAGCACACACACAACACTTCGTGGTTCCAACAATCTTCAGCTCCTTAGCCAGCGGCAATGCCCGCGCAGGAGTGCTGCCGGCACGGCTACCCCGGCTCGGGAAAGGGCGGATGATGATCCCACGCTCCTGCCTCCCGCCAGCTTGGAGAACAGCCCGGGCTCAGCTGGGCATCGGCAGGTCTCACCACGACACCAAGAAACAATGTGTGTGTGCTCAATCCTCCCCACAAACCCAGACCTCGGCAGCCTCCCGGTGTACTTACCCCCTCGGAGGCTTCATCCGTTGGTGCCGGCATCCCAGGAGGATCCACCAACTTCTCCGACGTTTCTTGGGAGGCATCCTCCAGCGCTTGGCAGCGGGCTTGGGCTCGCCTGTGCCAAGAGACAAGACCACCACGGGACCCTGTGACAGATGAAGGTCACCCAAACAGCTCGCTGATGACTACCCCAGTGTGGGTGGGAACATTCTCTTCGTTAGCTGGGACATAGCTACATGTCCCCTGGCATGTGCTCCCCTAAACCCCCATTTCAAATTCACAGGCCACTTCCATGGAGACTTTGTTCAGCACAGGTCTGAACACACCTTTGGTTCCTGCAAAGACATCTCCAGGCCACCAGCTGCTGGGAATCTACAGAGCAGCTTATGCCAAGCATCAGGTCACGGCAGCGTGTACCTTAACTCTTCAGCTGCTGCTTGCAGGGCTCCATCCCTCTTCTCCACCAGGTTGGCCATCTGAGAGAGCTTCTCTCTGAGCAGCTTCAGTTCCTGCTCTTGACACTGCACCCGGCTCCTGTTCTGCTCCAGTTCCACCTTCTGCTCCTCGCTCAGCTCCCCTGGGCGCACGACAGCTTCGTGGGTGTCTGCCTGTCCCGTCACCCAGCCCTAACACCTCCCCCCTTGCTGCTGCTCGGAAGATGGAAACCCCACAGATCGCTGCCCCCACCTCTCATGTCTGACATCCGGGCTCTGGTTTCCACCAGCTCTTTGGTTAGACCAGCAATGATGGCCTCCTTGGACAGGAGCGCGCTCTGCGCCGCCGCCAGCTCCTCCCTGGGTTTCCACAAAGACATAATTGAAAATCATAGAATCATCTAGACTGGAAAAGCCCTTTAAGCTCATCGAGTCCAATCATGAACCCAACACTGACAAGTCCCCCACTGACCCATGTCCCTCAGCACTGTGTCTACACGACTCTTCAATCCCTCCAGGGATGGGGACTCCACCACTGCCCTGGGCAACCCCTTCCAATGCCTCAGAACCCTTGCAGCAAAGAAATTCTTCCTCACATCCCATCTCAACTGCCCTGGCCACAACTTGAGGCCATTTCCTCTTGTCCTGTCCCTTGGTCCTTGGTTGAACAGACCCATCCCCCAGCTCTCTCCACCCTCAATCTCACCATTCATTTGAAAGAGAGAGTTCACACAGGCTGCACACGCCTTCCTGAGCCACATCTCAGGATTAAGATGCACATTTTACTTTTTTACCTGCCTTTCAGTCTCCGCCACAAACACCCATCTCAAGACAAGTTGCTATCAGCCCCTTGCTCTCCTACCCATATCTTCCCTGCTCCCAGCCCCACTCAACACCACCACCATCCGCACACGCTGCTCACCTCAGACAGCAACGTGACTCTGTCACAGGAGAAACCCCTGGCCAGGCTCCCCGCGTCGACTCATCGCCATCACCCCGCAACCCTACAGGACACGACAACAGAGGCAGTTGCTTCTTCATAATGCGCACGTGCTTCCTTCTGCTACACATCTCCTTTCCTTCATGACAGCTTCAGAGACTGAGGACCATCTCCTTTGGAAAGCCATGTCTCTCAGGCTCCAGTTCCAACACTTCCTGACATCCTTCCTTGCTCGGCATCACTTACGCCCGTGTGCAGCCCAAGGTGCTGTAATCTTATTGCTTGAGAGGGCAAAGAACCTTTTCTCCACCCAGAAAGCCCTGTCCGTGCCTGTGGCATGCCACCAACAGTCCCCAAAGCCACAGATCAACATAGGGCAACTCCCCGTGAAGTGGTTTCTTTTGGGACTCAATGAGCTCATCCCACCCGCAGACAAACCCCATGCCAACGTCTCACACAACGCTTCCCGCAGCAGCAAGCGCACTGCTCCATCTCTACATCGAGCTCATCTTCACCAAAAAGGTCCCCGGCACAGACTGACCCCACACAGCCCTGACCTACCTGCCATTTTTCCCACCAAGGCTGCATTTTCCTCCTCCAGTGTCTTCTGCTGCTGCTCGGCCTCCAGCAACCTCTCCTCCAAAGCCACGATCGTCAGGGAATGCTGCTTGATCTGCTCTTTATATTCCACTATTTCCTCCTGCAGTTTCTGCCTCTGAAACTCATTCTCCTCCTGAACGCTCTGGAGCTTCTCATCTCGTGTAAGGACCTGCTGCTGTAACGCCATCTAGAAAACAAGATGGGTGACCTCAGTTGGAAGGGTGACATAGGGTGTTTTCTGGGGGATTGTGCTCAGCATCACCTCTCCCGGCTAGCAGTGTGAAGGACAGAGGGAAGGGAAGGATTTCAGGGAGGGGGGAGGCTGCAATGCTCTGCCCCATCATCAGCAAGGACTGCGGAAGCCTTCTCCACCACAGCCCCATCTACACCATGTCCCCTGAGTGCGCACAAGGGCTGCTGGAGCTACCTCTCGCGCCGTGGCTTCCTCCAGGTTGAGCAAGGCTTCTTTCAGTTTGTCCTCTGCCACCTCCTGCTCCTTGGACTTCCTCTCAAGAACCTATGCAAGGAAATTAGCAATCATCCAGAAGTTACCTGGCTTCCACAAATCCACCGTTCCCTTGGCAAATATGTATGTGTCTTTGAGAAAACAACCCACCGTGGCCCGCTGAGGGCCCTGACCAAGTGGGTCACCAGGCTACCCCAGAGCCCTTTCAGATTTTGTTACTGCAAGCACAAGCACTTCTGCTCCTCCTCCCGTGCGTGCCACTGACCTCCATCACATCTGTCAGGTGGCTCTCCAGCTCTCGGATCTTCTTTTGTTCTTCCTCCACAGATTGCTTACAATTGTCTTTCTCCTTGGCGATGGCGCTCTCCAGAATCTGAGATTTGACAGCCCTCAATTTCCAGCAAGACAAAATCACACCTTGGCAAAGGACCTCAACCCCCTCCCAGCACCACCCAGGAGGGTCACTGCTCTGGAGCAGGACCACAGGATAGGAGAACACCTTGGTAAGACCCAAGACAACTCATTGAGGCAGGAGATGAGAGCATATGGGGACAGGTACAGCAGAGAGACCAAGGAGGAGCTGCTCAGTTGCACTTCACCCGCCTCCTCAGAACACTCAAGGCTGGACAACAGCCATTCCCAAAGCGACAGACACACAAGCATAGCAGGAACCATCTGGAGAGACCACCACGGTACACTGTCCCCGTCACAACATACAGACACAGCCCAACACCAACCAACACCTTGACCAACACTACGTCCTGCCCCAGTGCCATGGCCTCGATGACTTGGGCTTCACCAGGACTGAGGGTGACCCAGCAAGAACAGAAATACCAAAGGATAACTGATAACCAGGCTCTCGTGAGTACACCTAGACAGCTTAGGGCTACTGACTCCTTCCTCTCACTAGCCAACACCATTACCAAGCCTTATTTTTCCTGTATAACAGTCGTTTTCCAAACAACCAACCATGTCACTGTACCTCTTTGTTCTCCTGGTCCTTCTCCAGGATAATTTGCTTGATTTTTGTCTGTAGGTCTTGCTCGTGTTTCTCTTCCAGTTGCTTCACGAGCTCCTGCAGCAAAGCTGCCTGCGACTCCTGGACCTTCTCTAATTGGGCCTACAGGGAGACAGCAGATTCCGAGGAGTTACAGGAAGCAAGAAATAAACATCCTGTGAACATTCCCAAACAAACAACTCAAAGGAGAGATATTCCATTCCAGCTGCATTAGGGAGACAGACACTTACACACTGACAATGGACTTTGTCTTCTCCGTTCCTCAGCATTTACTGCAGACCAGGGACCACCGCTACTGTACGTCCCCAGGTCACATCCCACGGGACTACCAGCGTGTTTACCGGTAGGAAAATTCCCAACCAACCTGGTTCCTGTACCTACACGTTTCTGTACCTGTAACATCCGGTTCCTCTGTGCAGTTTCCTGAGTGTTTTCCACCAATTTCCCAAAAGCAGCCACCAGCCCTGCAAAAGCCAACGGAGTCTGGCTGGACGGGGCGCTCAGGGTGACACTGCCAGAACATCCTCAGAGGTCTGGGGACACCGCTCAACAGGGAAGCAACACTCCCTTTGGCCACTGCTGACCTTCAGCCCTGGCCCTCATCCCCCTCTCCTGATGGTGGGGTGGGATCCACGTTCATAGAATCACAGATTTGCCTCAACTGGAAAAGAACTTTTAAGATCATCAAGTCCAATCATGGGGGGAAGGAGAGACCCCTGGGCAACACTTCTGCCTTGCACCCCCAGACCCTCACTAGTCTCGAGACCCTTGCTAGCCTCTGGCTGTGGGATTGAGGCTCAGAGATCCACTCAAAAAGGCTCTGAGGGACCAGTCGAGGGTTTCCCCTCAGCCCTTACTGGCAGCAGAGCCCATTCCCAGCCCTGGCAGATCGCTGCCAGTGCAAAGACATCACTGGCAGAGAGCTTGACTGTGCACAGACCAGGAGCCTCTGCCCACCAGGAGATGACTTGTCACACATCATCACCCCATCTTCTCTAAAGCCCCACACTTCTGCAAGAGTTGAGGGCGGTAACACTCCACCACATGCAACACTTGGACACAGACCCACGCTTTGCTTTCCACGCACCCTTCACCTGAACTTCCTTTCAGCACAGACTCTGCTGCTCCACAACAGAGGTGGCACCAGGAAAGAAAAGACAAAATAATTTGGGAACCTCACAACAAGGGGTTCAGATCTCAGCCTGCACCACAGCCAAGAAGCATTTTCTACATGCCACCAAAAGAAAAGCCACTTTGGATCACCACAACACTGGCAGATCAGCTCCAGCCCACGCAGATGTCACATCCCTCAGACAAACCCCAGAGTCCCACGGGTGGCACTGGCTACACAGGGTGACCAGTGCTGCAGCGGCAGGGAACACGAGGGTGCACGCTGCCCGAGCACACCAGCCCCAGAGGAAACCCTCACTCGAGTGACATGGGACAAAGCCAACCAGCAAAGGCACCAGCTCCTTGACCACCATCACGCCACACTAAACCTGGGGTGCAGGAACAGACCTTCTCTGTGAACCACAGCAGCTTAGAACTTCATCCCACCTGGAAACACTCCCAGACACGAGTCCCACCCCAAGGACCTCTCGCTCCTTGCCCGATGCGTTGAGTCTGGGGAAGGCTGGTGCTGTGATGTTCATGTCTTGCTCCCCGCTGGTACCCCATCCCCTCCTCGTGCTCTCTCCCCTCAGGTCTCTCAGTTGCCCAAACTGATGGGGATTTGCACCCAGGCAGGGGTCTGGCATCCCTGAGTGCTGGCTCACGCTGGGCTTTCTCCTCTATGGTTGGCTAGCTAGGACATCCCACCTGGAGCAGGTGAGCTCACCCAGACACCCAGCGGGACACAGACCTTTGCTGGAGGTGTGTGGGTCCATCCCCACGCTGGCCAGGAGCCGCTCCGCGCCCTCCAGCCAGGACAGGGGGACACGAGCCACCTCCAGCACCGCTGTCCTGAGGGCCAACATGGAGGGCTCTGAGCACGCCGCCTCCAGCCGCCCCAGCTCCCCTCGCAGGTTCTCGCTGCTGCAGGAGCTCAGCAGGCAGGCCTGGAGAAAAGAACACCAGAGAACTCACTAGCCTCCACGGCTACTGGCCCTTGGGGACTTGGCAAATAACACATCATCTCCAAACAAGTCCTAGGGATGACCATGTGAAATCTTGGGTATGATGCTTTGCTTCATGGGTTGCTATCTTGGGTGGGAACAGCTCTTGGCAGGCTCAAGGGAGGACCTTTCTGCACCACATCTGATTTTTTTTGGGGGGGGGGGGCAACATCCGGCCTTGGCGGCTCTGGA